TGGGGGCTGATAGGGGTGGAAAAGGGGATGGGGATGGAATGAAGCAGGGGTGGTTTGGGGGAGGTGGAGAAAGGAATGAGGATGAGGATTTGAAGAAGGGTTGTGGAAAGGGGGGGGGTGTTGAAATGTAGCATGGGTGGAGTGGAGGAGGGCAAGGAATGGGGATGGGAAGAAGGAATGAGGGGTGGGGGTTGGGAGGGGAGGACTTCGTTATCATCCCTCTGCAACGTCAGAGCCGAAGATAAATGAGTGAAATGAGGAGAGGCTGGTAAGAAGTTTGGAGCAACATCGTGCCTCCGTGGGTCGTGGTTGGGACGGGCGATGTTTACCCCGCGGAGGTAGCCGGTAGTTGGTCTGTGTTTGGCGGCGTGTTTCTGTCTTTGCGCACCGTGCGGGGATGTGCAGGGAGGTGCGGGGTGTGCGCTTCCGGTCGGGGATGTCTCCAGACGTAATGGCGTCACGCCGCTGCCCGCGCCCCCAGCCAGGAATTCCGCGGCCGCTATAAAACACGGACCGGTCGGTTGTCCAGTCAGTCAGCAACGTACTCCCGCCAAACCCCGACATCTTCTGCCTTCCTCACCTCTTCGCTGGTTCGAAGAGGGTGGTTTTTGAGACAAGAACTTCCAAGTTTTTCAACACAGCCATTCATTCACATAATTTCACTAAACGTTTTTTTACAAGTCATCATTTGAAGCTCGGCGCACAAAGCTGGACTTTGACAGAACAACAAGCTTTACATTCTTCATCCAACAAGTTATACAAGCCTGACAAGAAATAGAAAAGGAACGGAACTAAATTGAGACGAGACATTAGTGAGACCAGAGCAGCATTATGGCGCACCAGATTCTTCTCCTCGCCGTGGTATCGAGTCTTTTCACCCTCAGTTCCGGATCTTTCTTCCTGTTCCGACAGCCCAACTCGGCCAACAAACAACAGACGCAGAGCCAGAACACGGTGAGGCTTCCCTCACACTTCGGCAACACGTACGTCAAGAACGACAACAACAACAACAACAACAACAACTACAACAACCCCAGAAACAACCGGGTAGAGGAGACGACCACAGAGAAACCCCTGGCCACCAGCATCAACGAGCGATGTGTCCAGCGCAGTGCCAGGGACTTCCGGTCGCACCCCCAGGACTGCGGCAAGTTCACCATGTGCTCGGGCGGGGCTCTGCTCACCATCGACTGCCCGCCCGGAAGTGTGTTCCATGACGTCAGCAAAAGTTGCGTTCCCCAGGGTTCTTACTACGACACTTGTAAGTACTTTGTAATGGTTGTCAAGGGAAAAGAACTTATTGTAGAGCACGGAAGTACAATATACACATTAGCAATTATTTTTATTTCGTTATACGCTCTATCAATTCTGCTTTCTTGCTTGTCTACAACCAAAGACCGTACATAACAAGATAGTTCACTCCTCTAGTTGAACCAATTCAAAACTCTCCTCAACATCCGGTGGCGCCCTCTTCGAAAAAGCGCGGACTTTGCAAACAGTTACCCTTGACCTACTTGTGTGGAAAACGATAAAAGCGAAACTAACAAACTGTGCTGTTCCTATTCTTCTTCGGGAGAAACTAAAAAGAGCTTCAAAACAATGATTGCAGCGTCATCTGAAGCAATGCGCGGACTTCCGCTGACACTTTTTGGCTGAGCGAACTATCTTGTTAGGTAAACCTTAGTTATATTATACTAGCTGAGTACCCCGTTCGATAAACGGACTAAGAAAAATCAACCGTCAAGTCATTGTGGGATCAGTGCATACTGCATGTGAACGAAAACCTCACTTGTTTACAATGGTGTTTTAGAAGACGGACTTTCCCAAGATTAGATCTAAACGAAACTAATGAAAAACTGAAAATTAACTACAGTGACTTCAGGCTCCATATTATGACCGTGCGCCTTTTAAATGATTCTGAACCACCTTTAATTTTTTTTTCAAATTCAAAAGTTAAGTGGTTGGGAAGTTCTAGGCGACCAAAGTGACGAACTTTCACAAACATAATCTGTATAGATGACCGTTTACTAATAATGCGCTTTTTGCTGGGACTACACTACACATTTTTGTAAGTGCACACAACATGCAGCTTCATGGGAGTCTCATAGCTGTTTCACAGATTTATTTATCTGATGACTGCTTTTGTTCTGTTAGTTACTGGTAATAGAATATCATCATCATCATCATCATCATCATCATCATCATCATCATCATCATCATCAT